GTCGTGGGGTGGGGTGCCCTGGTTTTCTCTAGCCCCTCTCCGATTTCTTCACTTTCTGGTGCCTCTAAGGCGGGAGTGAAATTGGCCATGACTTGGGACTGACTAGAGGAAAGTTGTTCTTTGTAGAGTGTATCGTGATGCCGTATTCTCCTTTGCAGACAGCATAAGCCTGTCGTTGGCTGTTGACAGTTTTAGTTTATATAGAGCCCTGGGGTTAAAAGCCTGCATTCCTCTGAATACTGCAGCCAAAGAAAAAGGGAGGATTGGTAGCTCGGTAAACTGCTTGTGGGCTTCCCTGGAGCATGGGTTTGGGCTTTGTAAACTCATGGCTTGATCTAACAGAACTTATTTTAAAACTTAACTTTCTTTAACTTCCTCAACCACATTTTCTATAGACAGTTTCTATAGATTCTCCCCCATGTATGCACACATTTAATTATCCTTGATTTCAGAATGTGGTAGACATTAAGGCCTATGTTTGGAATGCTTAAATGATCTTGTTTGACAATTGTCTTCAAAGTCTAGCTTCTCAAAACAGGTGAAGGCCCACAAGATGAGATTGGGAGAAAGGTGGAGATGGAATGCAGATTTCCAGGAAAGAAAAGGAATTTGCAGCATATAGTCTAGCACTGCTATGTAGAATTCATGGATTGCCTATTTTTGAATAATTAGGCTTTTGGTATGTTTCATCTGCAACTTTAACATTTTTTATGCTGAGACTGCCTTTAAAGAACAGCCACAAACAGCTTTCCTTTGGGATGTTTGAGAGTGCAGGAATGGGTTGCTAACTAGCTGTCATCTGCTAAAAAAGTGATAGATAACATACATATGTGTTATGGTGCCTTGAATATTTCAAAGTTCAGCCTGAAGTATGTTTATTAAATTTTGGCCAGTTTAACATGTCAATGAAACCAAGAATATTTGTTTTTTAATTGCTCCTTAGTTATCCTTCAGCACAACAGAAACTAAGTCCATTGTGAGCTCTATCAGAAGTTGGAGGCTACTGAAATTTGAATAAGTAATTTAAGTGGCATGTTCCTGGTATGTCTGTGTCATGCTATGTAAACTTTGTAAAAGCTGTATGATCAAGAGTTTCTACTATCTCATCTTTAGGTCAAAGTTTATTCCACAATCCTTTAGTGCTGAGAGTTTCTTTTAACTTGTTGACTCAAAAATATAGGATTTTGAGATATTTCAAAGTGAAAAAATAGGGATTACATGATATCAGTTAGCATAATTTTAGAAAACTATGTATGGATTCTATCGGCAGGTTAGAACTAAAATATGGGAATTTGAACCAAGACAGCATCCTGTTGTCACAACTGGAGAGAGTGAAAATGTTTAATATCTTGTTCAACAGAGAGTGTCCAGAATTAAGATAGTTATTTGTGACTGATTGAGTATGAAATCCAGTAATGCAATTTCCTCAACAGAATTGGAAAGACAATTCCTGCTCTCCTATATAATCTGTAAAACGTTTTCTGAAGGATTGAAAAATCATCTGGGAATGCACAGTGTTGGATTTCACCCCAGTTTACAGCAAATAATTTGTGGTTCCTTATTGTATCCCAGAGAATTAAACAAGATCAATTATTGCAAATTCCCAGTATTTAACAGTCATTAATAAGTTCAGAACATTGAGATGCAGGGTCCTTTACCAGCTCTTTGTGTTGTTAGAGAACTGTTTTGGTAAAATGGAGGATCAGTTTTAATCATTTCTAGTGATTCCAAACATCCTGCTGCTATGTTTTGTTTGCCATCATACCAATATTTTTGAAGGATACTGAGAAATTAGAATATATATTCCTACCATGTCTTTTCATGAAAATTATGACTATGCAAAGCCTGATTTCCTTTGGGTGGTGCTTGGAAAATTTGAGAGAGATTTGAATATTTGGAGCATCAGAACACGCTAGTAAATTCCAATTTGTTTACAATGCACTAACAAAATCTCAAAATCAGAATTGGAATTGTGGAGGAATCAAGATGGTTCTGTGCCTCAGTATCATATAGATATTACTTAGTTTGACATCAAGCCTTGTATTTTTATGTCTCCCAGCTAGAATGGAAGAATCTCACTTCAACTCCTCACCGTATTTCTGGCCAGCAGTGCCCACAGTCTCGGGACAGGTAAAGAATATCTGAATTCTAAGTTGCTTTTTATGAAATTCAGCCCATGACTGTTCTAAAACTCTTCCACTTTCTTGTTTTCACTCTAGATTGACAACAGTATGTTCATTAACAAGATGAAGGAACAGCTGTTGCCCTCAGAAAAGGGCTGTGGTCTGGCTCCTCCTCACTATCCTACTTTACTGACTGTACCCACTTCTGTGGCCCTTCCCACCAACATTTCTATGGATTCTGACACGAAGCCAGAACAGCTTACCCCACCCAGCCAGGCTTCAGTAACACAGAACATCACAGTGGTACCTGTGCAGTCTACTGGGCTCATGACAACAGGTGAGGTAATTTGGATGGTGCAGTTGCTAACTCAATGTTTTAGGCTGTCTTTAATAAAATAACATCATTAGCCCTTTCTTGAAAAAAGGGCATTCTGATTAAATATCAGAATGGCCTAAATATTGCTGTTATTATAAAATCTATGTTTTCAATTTGCTGTCTAGATAATAGCTGATCTAGTCTAGTGGGTAGAAGCACAGTTGCCTTGGTGTGTGGATTTATTGAAGCTTGCATTCTTATCTTTTTCTCCTCTGTATTTTTTTGCAACAACTCAGAGAGGCAGGCCCATGGTTTTAAAATCAAGCTCATGTGTGAACATTTAAACTTGAGCCCTGCAGGCCCTAGCCCAGGAGTAATTATACATAATTATATTGGCATGGTTTCCTTTCTTTGACATGCTGAAAGACCAATTAGTGCTTGTAGGATTTGAACCAATCCTTCTGTTTCCTCTCTTACAGGGCCTGGTCTAGTAATAACTTCTCCCTCTGGATCCCTGGTGACCACAGCCTCTTCTGTGCAAACCTTTCCCATTTCTGCACCCATGATTGTCTCAGCTCTTCCTCCTGGTTCCCAGGCAGCTCTCCAAGTAGTACCTGACCTTTCTAAGAAGGGGACTGCCCTTGCAGAGGGTGGGGCAGTGAGTGCTGCTGGAAGTATAACCCCCAAAGCTCCTCGGGGAAGAAAAAAGAAGCGGCTGCAGGAAACTGGCCTGCCGGAGATGAGTGATCCTTTTGTTTTACCGAATGAAGATGAAGAAGACCAGCACAAAGATGGCAAGACATACAGGTGAGATTGTGGGGATTTGAAATCCTGCATTTTATTCATTTTACAGTTTTTATAGCCTACTCAACTCAAAAGGCTCTGGGCAGATTTCACAAGTAGTGCATATGAACAAGCAGTGTTTCATTTGAATTACAGGGGAACTGTCTTCTTCCATGATGTGGCATTCTAGTTCATTGGGCTTCTGGTTTAATTGTGATTTAGGTAAGAGGGAAGTATGCAATGGAACCTGGCAGGGTACACTGAAAAATAACTTTTCACTGGCTAGCTTTGAGCTTTATACTGTGGTTGATTCTGTAAGGTGATCTCTAACTTAACATAATGTTACAGGCAACTGCATGCCAAAACAACCTTTGTGAATTTAGTCTATCCCTCATGTCTCCTTTATGTGGGTTACAGTTTTACTCTTTCTGGCAGTGCTAAACTTTGTATAGCATAGGAGCTGATTTCATGACTTATCCACTCTTTGCCACCTGAAGTACCTAAACAGACCTGGTTCTGGAATTAATGATTTGCTAGTGAATACATTAAACTCTTGAGAGGCTAATGAGAATTATCAAGGGCTGTAATGCTATGGCGATATTATGATGTCTAATTCTGTCTGCTAGAACTTCGAGTAGCAGAGACTGGATGATTGTGCTGTCCTTGTTTTGGGATTGATCGAGTATTTGATTCTCACTTTGAATATAATAGCATAGCTGGATTGCCTGTATGACTGCAGTGATATTACTCTGAATAATATATTTCCAAAATAAAATTTCAGGACTGAGCTTTGTACTGTGGATATTGCTGAACAGATTGGGCTTGGGAAGAGGCACTATAGTCCCAAAACCAAGCTATTTTTAGCAAGTAGCACAATAGTCTTTGTTTGAAATTAATGTCTTTATGGTGAAGCTTATTTATTTGTCAATCTGGGAGTCTTGCACTTGTGATGCTGAGCGTTCCTAAATATATTAGTTTTACCTTGTCCTGTTTTTCTTATAATTGCTTTCAAGCATCATTTGTACTTGCAGTATCCTAGTTAATGAAAAATACATTTTGTACATAGAGTTGGTATTGGTGATCATACAGAAAACTGTTGTATTGATTTGGACATTTGTAAGTTCACACACACACACACACACATACATTCCATATAGTAGAGTACTAGAAAGACAGTGTATATGAATTTCATATCAGTGTATATGGGGTCTGGTGAGTGTCAAAGCCACTGTCCTGGATGAAACCCAGAGCATCCAGGAGTACATCAATAAGATGGCACCCAAAGATGAGCTGTTGAGAGAATGCCTGAGGCAGCAACAGACATGGGAAGAAGTTTAAGCAGAGGAAGTGCCACGGCAAGACAAGCCCTTGCATGGGGTGTACCATCAACAGATAGCTGAGGTGGCTGACACTGGGAAATCCTACCAGTGGCTGGAAAGGGCTGGACTAAAAGACAGCATTGAGGCACTGATTCATAGCAGCACAAGAACAGGCACTAAGCTCCAGATCCATAGAAGTAGGAGTCTACCACACTAGACAGGACCCAAGGTGCAGACTGTGCAGAGAGGCCTCAGAGACA